GGTTTACGAGGCTGTGGCTGGGCGCAGTGGGGCCAGGGTGGCAGTCAAGAAGATCCGCTGCGACGCCCCCGAGAACGTGGAATTGGCACTAGCCGAATTCTGGGCTCTGACCAGCCTGAAGCGCCGTCACCAGAATATTGTGCAGTTTGAGGAGTGCGTCCTGCAGCGCAACGGGTTAGCGCAGCGCATGAGTCACGGCAACAAGAACTCACAGCTGTACCTGCGCCTGGTGGAGACTTCACTCAAAGGTTAGAATTCAGCAGGCAGCCCTGCCCTCTCCTTGGACCCCCTTGTTCTCAGAACCGCTCAGCCTGACTTTGGCACGTTCGGGCCCTTGCCCAGGCTTTGGGACCTTCTCTTCTCTGAATGCTGCAAAAGTCAGTCTGCTCCCTAAAACGTTAGCTAGCATTCTGTAACAAGCTCACTAAGTGCTAACCATGATCTGTTTAAGTATTCACTTAGTAGGTGTGAGCCATAATTACAAGTCTAGCATTTTAAAGATGGATGAAGAGTAGGATTCAAAAGTTATTGGCAGAACTGTAGAGCCCCCACATGCCTCTTTTCAAGACATTGAGGAAAAAAAAAAAAACATAGTGGACCCACCCATGCCCTCTCCTGATGTCCTCCGTCTTCATTCCCAAACTCTTGCTTCCAAGTGTGGCTTCCTCTGAGAACCCTAGCCTTCACCCTAGAGCAGACAGTCATTCTGTCGGTTCTCTCTTAGTCCCTGAGGCATGCCTAGAGTAATAACCCCCACAGGTGGGCCAAGAGTTTAGGATAACAAAACAGGTTACTTCTTTTCCTGCCCCTTTACAATCTCAGTAGTTTTCCTAACCTCTAGGGATGATTGAGAAGTGATTTTGTAGAAAACAGGGCTCCTTGAGGCCAAAGGGACTTGCATTCCTGGGTGAACTACAAGAGGTAGTTCCTGTGGCTGGAGAGTCCATGGGAAAAATGACCAATTCAAATCCCAACTATAATGTGAGCTCTAAACTATTTCAGTTAATATCTATAAAAGTCAATTCTGTCTCCATTCTATAAATAGAGGAACTAAGGCTTAGAGGGGAATGGATACTTGATTAACCTTAATCAGCTTGAAAGGGGTGGGACTCCTGGCTTCAAATTCTTGTGTCCTTGAAGCAGAAGTGTTTTGAACCCAGACTGGTCTGTACTCAAAGATCTTCCGCAGATGTAATGCTGCTTTCCCTACCTAAGGTTGAACTTAATGAATGTGTAGGACTGGATAGGGTGATTTCCTGAAGTCTTTTTGGAGAATCCCTGAACAATGGATTGGATGGTGTGATCTAATTCTCTAAGGGCCCTTTCCCAAACTGCTTGTCCATTCTGAGAAGGCCATCATTTCCAGGATGGTGGATGCCTTTTCTTTTTTAAGGACTTCTTATTTGCCTGCATCCTCATCACTCACTTTCTTAGTCCATTCATTCATACACCAATTTCTTGATAGTGTAAAAATGAATGAAACGTACTTAATGAATGGTGATATTTTCATATTTCAACACCCTGGCGTTTGGGGCTTACATGCAGTCCTGGCTTGTTCTGAACTGATATATGACATTGGACAAATTGAAAACCCATGAGAGGAGTGACTTAATCCTGAGGTGGGGTATCTGTCATGAGGTTGTTGTGCATGCTGGGGATGTCAGTAATAGTCCCTAAGGAATTCACTCACTGCCATATTAAGTTCAGACTACTTCCTGAATTTCTTCCATCCTCTTAGAGATTGAAGTTCTTACCGAAGTTTCCCAGACTTTGACTATGGGGTCAAAATAGTAGGATGAAAGCAATACTAGGTTTTTTTGTTTGTTTGTTTGTTTGTTTGTTTTAAAGTCTCCCTTTGTAAGCTAAAACTAGATAATTTATTTCATTTGGGCCATATACTTAATATTATTTGTTTCAATTTGGATTTTTGTTTTGTTTTGTTTTGTTTTGATTTTTTGAGACAGGGTTTCTCTGTGGCTTTGGAAGCTGTCCTGGAACTAGCTCTTGTAGACCAGGCTGGTGGCAAACTCAGAGATCTGCCTGCCTCTGCCTTCCGAGTGCTGGGATTAAAGGCGTGTGCCACCACCGCCCAGCACAAAACATTTTATAGCCTTTATGGGTGTCTGGAAAGTTTGAAGGCATAGTGATCAGGGTTATTCTTCAGTGTGAAGGGTTAACCCATTAACCAGGGCTTTGTAGAGAGAATTAAGAGAAAGAGAAGAATTAGCAGAACAGGTGATCTTGAGAGGCAAGTGCTTCTAGTGAATACACAGAAAGCAGTTTTGTAGTTTACAGAAATAACTTGATGTAAAAGTAAGTATCCACATTAAATAAATTAAAGAAAAAACAATTGGAAAGAAAAACTATGTTCTTGGTGTTATCGGTGTCTCATGTAGCTCAGACTGGCCTCAAATTTACTATGTAGCCAAAGATGACTTTGAACTAATGATTCTCTGCCTGGAGTACTAGGGCTAAAGGTATGTACCATCATACTTGGTTTATGTGCTGCCGAGGAGGAAACCTAGGACTTTTGTGTATGCTGGATAAATACTTCTCAACAGCCTTCTGTCCCCAGCCCCTAGTCTCTTAGTTTCACAAAGAAAATTAGGAGCTCTGAAAGGAGTACAGAATTTGCCTAAAATGAAATAATGACACAACAATAACTAACTCTAAGGCTTAAAAAAAAAAGGTATTACCAACCCTATAAATTTGATGGATTACTAACTGTGTCTTCAACTTTGAAGTCCTTCAAAAGTCCTTCAGTGAAAAGGGAATAAAGGCATCAACAGTTGCTTTTATCACCTCATTTTCCATTCTGAGAAACCTCTGTCCTGAATGTACCTAAAACAAAGCTTACGGTCATTGCTACCTAGAAAATAGCAAACAAGCCTCACTCCTTTTCACACTCAGAAAATTGTTGCCCTAAGTCTAAATCCTTCTGACAAAAAGTGAAGATTGACCCCCCATGTACCCTAAACACAAACATTCTGCACTAATTCCCATAAAACTAGAAATTTAGAAGAGCTGGGAGACCAGCTTAGTTATTTGATAAGCTCTGATGTCTACTCAAAATGCTTTAGGTAGCTCAAGATGGGTTTGACCTAGGCATTTGGGCAGCAGTCTTTGCTGCATACCAATGCTGCTGTAAGCCAGGTTGCTGTATAAGAGGCTTTACAGGCTTTCCTTTATAAGTCCTGTATACCTAACTGATTATGCTGCAAGGTCACAAGTGGTGGCATCCTAATAAACAGGTTCTTGTTGAGAGAGTTTCATCAGTGTTCTAGCAAAGCAGGAGCAAAAGTAGCTGACAAGAGACCTAGTGTAGGGTTCCCAAGTTTGCAAATGAATTAACTGCAAACTTCCTGGCCACTGAGTGCCTAAGGAACCGAACCTAACGGACTCCAAGCAGGGTAGTCATCTTTAGCCCAGACTTCAGCAAAGTAATCTGTGGCTTGGCCTTGGAATTTAGAGACCTTTCAGGTGGACAGAATTAGATGGTCTTTGGCTATTTTGACATAGATAAAAGTGGCGTTGGTGACTTTCAAAATTAATGGGATATAGTAGAACAATGGATTTAGAGTCCAAAGGTTTTATTCCCACTTTTACTAAAATTTACGGCATGAAGCCAGTTGTGGCTCATCTGTAATCCCAGCACTTAGAGGATGAGGTAGGAAGATTGCTTTGAGTTCAAGGTCAGTCAGTACTATACAGTGAGTCCTAAATCAGCTTGGGCTAAGAGTGAAACCCTGTCTGAGAAACAAATATAACCTTGACGCTATTTGTCAAGTGCTGTAAAGGCTTCATAACAGCTCATTCTGCCTTCATGACCATCTTTTGAAATGGATACTGTGAGTGTCTTTTGCAGCTGATGTATCAAACTATTGAAGTGGATGAAGTTTTGTATAGTGTAAAATGGCTAAACAAGTAATCCAATCAGCATTCAAGTACAGACCTTCTGAATTGAGTTGTCATTCATCTGCTAAGGGGGTATGCTTGAGAACGTGGCTTCAAGTTCAGAATTGTGTTGTGTTGTTTTGCTTGTAAAATGTGTGTAATTATACTTTACTAATAGGATTTAATATTAATGTGTTAATACTTCCTAATTGCTGCTGTTTGTATTATGTTTTATTGGTGCTTATTGCACTATTTCTGTTGGTGTCTTCTGTGTATCTCAGCAGCCAGATACTGCACCTGCTTTCTGACCTGTTCTTGGATGCCTTGGAGGCAAATTGTACAGACTTTCCTCTCACTACCGAGTGTTTTCCTTCTATGTGTAGGGATTTTAGGAGCCAGCCCCAGGAGATAGAAGTCACCCTGTCTTAATTGAGAACATTGGTTAATTGGGGTTGCATTGAGTAAGGTTTTTTATAGGGTAAACTCTCAGAGAGAGCTTAGCTTCCCTTGTAGAGTATCAGTTCACCTTGAATTTGCCCTTCAGCCCTATCCTTAGGGCTAGGAATCCTCCTGAGTGACTCAAATTCTCCACCCTCATTTAGTTGCATCCTGATGAGCAGCTCTCACAAAGCACATTTAAGTCAATCAAAATCGTGTACCAAAAAAGAAATCTGTAGTTTCTATAGTTGGATAATCCAGCACTAGGGACTTGATGAAACTTAAGTTGCTTGGTGTATGTAAGAGCTTGCATATAAAGAGCTTGTGTAGCAAGGAAAATAGAATATTCAAGTGTGAAATTGCTGCTAGCACCATGAAACAATAGAGCTTTGATTGAGGACTTCTTAATCTTGCCCCCAATTAGCTTCCAGACTACAGACAAATAGTTAATCTTTTGAGCCTCAGTCTTCTCACCTGAAAATAGGGTGTAGTTATCAGGTTTAAGGGTGTAGTTATCAGGATTAAGGGTGTAGTTATCAGGATTACAGTGTGGAGCAGAGACAGTTGGAGAGAATGCTTTGAATTATCACAGGAGATTAGTTACTAAATTCTGATGTAGACCTTAATCTTTTATCCTATCCCTTTCCAGCTTTCTCCCTTGGCTGTACTCACTCAGTTTCAGAGCCTCCTAGTGAATGACTTAGCTGCTCATCTCTTCTCTTCCTCTCAGCCTTCACAAGGAACTTGTTCATCCACTGTCCAAGATATGCCCGTGTACAACTTGACCTCTGTGGTCTAACTAGAATGCAGACTTCGGCTATCATAGCCCAAGGAATGTGATGTTTGTAGGTGGAGCAATCTACCTTTCTTTTTGGTTTTAAATTTCCTATTTTGCATAACCTGTAACATAATCTATGACCTATATAGTACTGGGAAATCAATGATTTCCAAATTGAGTGTGGTGGCACACCTGTAATTCCAGTACTGGGCATAGCCTGGGCTACATATCAAGACTGTCTCAAAAACAAAAACACATCAGGGGCTGGAGAGATGGTGCAGAGGTTAAGAGGATTCCTCCAGAGGCCCTCAGTTTGGTTCCCAGTATCCATGTTCGGTGGCTTACAGCTGCCTGTAACTCTTGTAAGCTCGGGGGATGTGATGCCCTCTCCTGGTTTCTGCAGTTGCATGCTGACCCACCCTCTACCCCCATACCCACTAGTTTTGAGGGACTTGAGTTTGGGTGGTAATGAGGGTGTTGGTGATGGTCAGTACATAATTCTCTAAAAGTATCTTATGATCTGTAAAAGTTGTTCCACACCAGTGTCTTAGTTCACTGGACCTTGTCGGGCAATGTTAAATTCTCAAATTTGATGGGTAAGAATTCTGAAGTTCAGAGTTCAGGGATGTTCCCAAGGTTCTGGTTACCTTCCATTTGTGCAGTCACTCACACACTATTTCCTGGTCTGTGCTTGTCCTGTTTTCTTCATTTTGGCTTGCTTCTCCATGGAAATTCACTCAATACCAGACTCTGTTAGTGCCTTCTCCCTTGGTCTTGGTCATGAGTTAGCAGAGTAGTCTGCTTGAAGGAATGACAGTATCCTAATGTATCTCTTCTGTATTCCGTGTGGGCAGCCGGGACTCTGCATGAAAAGATACTCCGGGAAAGCATGCTTCCCCAGAAGGAAGCCTATGCCTTTGCCTGCTCAGAGAAGTAATCCCGAAGTTTTTCCATTTGTCTTTGTCAGTGTTGTTGCACGGGTTCTGAGAATGCTGCTTCTGCCCAGCATTTCTGTCAAAGGGCTCCTCTAGCATCTTCAGACTATCTGCCCTACCCATAGACTAGCTTAGGGCACTTTTTTACCTAACTTATTTCTTTTCCTGGATTCTTTTTTTCCCCCTCTGAGACAGGGTTTCTCTGTGTGACAGTGCTAGCTGTCCTGGAACTCACTTTGTAGACCAGGTTGGCCTCGAACTGAGATCCACCTGAGATTAAAGGCGTGTGCCACCAACGCCCTAGCCTTTCCCTGGATTCTTACAACCTAGATCTGTGTTGTTCCTTTGGCCAACTTGTTTTCTTTTATTCCCTTTAGTTACCATAGTTACCAGATTTGTGTATAAAATAATAATTTCCCTATCCATGTCTCCTATTAGGAGTTTTGTTGCTCTCTGATGTGGTCTTTGCAGAAGGAATTTGATGACTTTCTTCCCTGGCTGTACTGTCGGGGAACATTTCTTGCTGTCCTTTTTCTGTCTCTCTTAACATCTAGATGGGTTTGGGTTTCAGATTGTGGCTTCATTTTTCAATTTTTTTTGTAGACTCAGCCTGCTTTTGAGTGACCAAAAGAGGATTATAGAGCAGGGAGTGGGGGCGAGGGAACAGTTCAACACTGATTGTAAAAAGAAGCCATATGCTCTGAACTGGTTCTCTTAGTATTACTTTGATTATGACTAATACAAACAAACAAATTGTATAATTACAAGGGAAGTGAAGTCTGTCAGATTGTGTGGCTAAACTTTTGTCATGTGTCCTATCTCTCTGGTTTTGGTAGACTTTGTACCTTAGTGATTTAAGGGCTATTGGGGAAGCGGAGACTCACTGTAGTGAGATACTAGGAAAAAGAACCTCCTTCCAGAGGCTGCGGAAGTGTTAGCCTTGTCTTTTGGGACATAGTGTACACTGAACCAAGGGACCTGTTTTCTTCACTTATTTAACAAATTAGCAGTCAGTCTGTAGTCTGTCTGTCCTACTCCTTTTTCGTTTTGTTTTGAGACAAGGTCTCAACAGCAAGCCCTTGGTTGTTCTGGAACTTGCTGTGTAGACCAGGCTGACTTTCCTAGAAAGCTGCCTGCCTCTGCTTCCCAAGTGCTAGGATTAAAAGCACACAACAGTATCTGTCTTTTCTATTGTCAAAATAAGACATCTGCCTTTTTGGACTTAGCTTATAGGGCATGCATCATCCAATAACTTTCACATAAGGACTCAGAGTTTTCATTAGGTGCCTAATGAAGATTGTTGGGAGTGACGTGCAAGTGCCAGTCACCAGCTTTCCTGGTTTTGAACCCACACAACCCAATACTGCTTCAGATTTCACTGTTCCATCAAGCTAAATTTTCCTACCCATTATCTCCCATTTATTTAGACCTTCCTGGTCCACTTGTCCACGTGTCTATTGTCTTTTTCATCTCTGCCTGGAGTTCTTGCATGTGTGCTGATCTTCCATAGAAGTTGACCTTATTGCCAACTTATGATAATTGCTGTCAGGTACCTGTGCAACTAAGCCTCATAGAGCCAGAGGCATATAGACCTGGCTTGGACTAGGCATATGGTGAACTAGCAGAAGATGTGCATGAATTGGAGTGTACATCTGAAATAAAACCATAATGTCATTGTGTTTGTTGATAATGTTTAAGCGCATCAGGAAAGGAGAGCAAAGAACATGGGCCTGGTGTGGATTAGCAGTTGTAGAAGCTGGGCCAGTAATTAAATGGCAATAGCAGAAACAGCACACACTTTACAAAGCTTTTTTTTGTATTCTTTTTATTCTTGTCATTCCAGCAGCCCTACAAAGATAGGATAGGATAGACTTGTATGCCAGTTTGAAAAAAAAAATATAAATAAACAAAATGGCCTCAAAGCCAAACTAGATGGCAGCAAACTTAGGTTCTTAAATTCAAACCCTAGGTGCTTGACACCAGGCCCCAATGCCTCTGCCATACCTTGACTTGTTCTGTATGGGTAGAAGTGGACTGTGTGCATAAAATTTGCTTAGTGCCAGTTGTGTAGATCCTCTTGGCACAATTATTTATCACTGTCTTCTTTAATATAGTGATGTGAATGTCCACTCAAGCTCTTTCCTGTCCTTTGGTTTAGGAGAAAGGATCCTGGGCTATGCTGAGGAGCCCTGCTATCTCTGGTTTGTCATGGAGTACTGTGAAGGTGGAGACCTCAATCAGTATGTCCTGTCCCGGAGACCAGACCCAGCCACCAACAAAAGCTTCATGCTACAGCTTACAAGCGCCATTGCCTTCCTGCACAAAAACCACATCGTGCACAGGGACCTAAAGCCAGACAACATCCTCATCACCGAGCGCTCTGGCACCCCCATCCTCAAGGTGGCAGACTTTGGACTGAGCAAGGTCTGTGCAGGGCTGGCACCTCGAGGCAAAGAGGGCAATCAAGATAACAAAAATGTGAATGTGAATAAATACTGGCTGTCCTCAGCTTGTGGCTCAGACTTCTACATGGCTCCTGAAGTCTGGGAGGGACACTATACAGCCAAGGCGGACATCTTTGCCCTGGGCATTATCATCTGGGCAATGATAGAAAGAATTACTTTTATTGACTCTGAAACCAAGAAGGAGCTCCTGGGGACCTACATTAAACAGGGGACTGAGATCGTCCCTGTTGGTGAGGCGCTGCTAGAAAACCCAAAGATGGAGTTGCATATCCCCCAGAAACGTAGGACTTCCATGTCTGAGGGGGTGAAGCAGCTCTTGAAAGACATGTTAGCTGCTAACCCACAGGACCGACCTGATGCTTTTGAACTTGAAACCCGAATGGACCAGGTCACATGTGCTGCTTAAACTCCAGGGCTGAACGTCTTGGGTGTTTTTAAACTAGGTGAGTGCTCTCTTGTTATTGTGCACACACACTCCCTGGGCTGGCTGTGTGTCCTGTGATGGTTGGACTCTGGAGTTGTACAGAAAATGTAGGGCCAGGAAGAAGTAAGTCTTGTTGATGCAGATTAGCCCCCAAGTCTTGGTGAGTAGACATAGGTCAGATTATTTGAGTACAAAGTGGGAAGTGGAATCTTTAAGAGGAAATTATACAAGGCAGGATCTCCCAACATCTTTAAAAATACCTTTTCTTATCAAGTAATAAATTCTCCCTGTAAAATGATGCTGAAAGGAATAGTTTTTAGAGAAGGAACTTTGTCCCAGCTGTATTTTTGCTGTTCATGTACCCAATTCTATCCATTTGGGACCTGATGATAGAGGACTTAAGAGAATACACCAGTTTCATTTAGTGTGCAGTATATATAGATAGTATTAGAGATTTTTTTTTTTTCTACTCAGAACAGTTAGACTAGATCAGAGTCTGAGGTGTGGACAAGACAGGATGTTAGAAATTGACAACATATATGATAGATATTGCACATACTGTAAGTCATTAATCCCATTTCCCATTAAACTAAGGGTAAGTATATCTTACCTGAATTCACCTGCCCCCTTTACCAAGATGACAGATAGAAATAAACTGTAGAGTTTGCTGATGTCTTGATATGCAGTGGTGGGGTCGTGCTGGTTTCATTGCAACAGGGATAGGCTAACAGGCACAGGGTCTGGCTTCTCTGTTCCTCCATACCTCTGCATAGGATGACTTGTACTGAGCCTAGCAGCTTACACCTGTCTTGTTCTCAATGGAGGCAGCTGGCTAGTGCTTTAGGAGTGTTTTTTTACCTTAGCTTGCATTTCCGTCTTAGCCTTTGCATTTGAAAAGACCTCTTGGAATTCAAATTTTCCTTGTATAAAAGAGAGGTTGTCATTGGGAAAAGAACCTGAATTTAGGTTAGGATTATGGTAGTGCTTCATTAGTTGAGATCTGAGCCCTTATTTGAATCACTGAATGAGATTTGTGTTGATTACAGGGCAAAGTTATAGATAAAGAGAAGTGACTTCATCTACAAGAAATAAGTGACTTTGAGAGGAGGGGAGAAAGGTTAGGGACTTCTTTTGGGTGTGTGTCCCAACTCTTTGGTCGGTTCCTTTTGTTCTGACAACTAATGGGTGCTGTGCTTGTGGTGCCAGTTTGACTGGCCTGTTTTGCCCTGTCCTTGCAGAGCACTCTGAATTGTGGGCCTGGGCCCAGCTGTGTGACTGGTGCCTCAGGCTTCAGTTATATTGTCAGATGAGCCATATCTGCTTAGCTAGAGAATCAGAGGCTAGAGTTAGAAAGGGCCTTTGACCTAGTTTCCCTTCCCGTTGCCAGACTAATTCCAGCATTTTTATTAGGAAACATTTTGCTAGATACTGTTTTAGCCATAAATGATACAGTAGTAGGCAAAACCAAAACTTTGCACTTTCAAAGTTTATATTTCATTGTGAAAACAGGCTGTGAACACGGGTCTTCTGTTAAGAAAGGCTAAGTGTTGTATATAGGTAGGGTCTTTTAGACAGGGTCTTTTCCCCACCTCCACCCCCTCACCAGTGCCCTCTGAGCATATGCTAATAGTTGAGGGAGTGCATTTGAAGACTTTTGCGGGGGGAGCAGACTATCTCAGTGATAGCAAGTATTATAGTGATCTGAAAACTGAATAGTGAGCTAGGAGAGGAAGATGTATGTATGAAAAGAAAACAAGGAGTCAGGCGGATTAGTTGGGCATCTTGTAAGCCAGGAGAGGGTGATGGGCCCTTGAGTTGGGTGAGCCACCTGACCTAGGTACTTAGGACTCACACTCAGGTTCTGGGGAAGAGCAGCAAACCACTTAACTACTAAGCTTTCTCTTCAGCCCCAAGAAACATTTTTAGTGTTCCTTTTAGATAAATGATAACAATATACCAGTTAAGTATTGTCTTAATTATATTTTATGAAAAATAACTTTTCAAAAACTAAAGGTGACTAGCATTGTTTTTGCAAATCTGTTTAATTGTTGCTTTAGTCATTCCATTTGCATCTTCATTATAACGTGGTACAGACAACTCATCATGTAACATCTGGAAAACTCCATTGTATACTAAGGGTGAATGAAAGTGGAAAACGCAAGTGGCGTCCTATTGTCGTTATGAAAAGTATAGCTTCATAAATTCCCAAGCTAGATAGCAGGTTGAGAAGCAGTACTGGCTCTCTCAGGAATTTGCTGTGAAGAGGATCTGAGAAGTGTGGTAGCTAGAATCCTACAGAGAAAGGGATTTGTTTGAGGATTTGTCCCAAATGAAGGGACAGAACATGAATATCCTGGTTTCTAGGTAACTTTCTGCATGGCTAGGGAATTAAGCATACCTGGCCCTAGGACCAACATGAAAAAACTCAACTGAATAAAATTTAGGTAAGCACTGAATGAGTAGTTATTGTTGTTGCTGCTTTTGTAACAATGAAAAGAGGGAGAAACTGCACTTGGGGCAGTAAGGTAGAATTCCTTCTGAGAGATAACTGGTTACAAGCAGTGGAGGGATTGAGTCTTATTTCTGTGGTTTATTGGCTATGATCATCAGGCAGAGTGTTTTACCACTCTTGGTTTTATTACCCACAAAATGGAATTAACCATGCATATTTTATAGGAGTTGTGAAAGTGCCCCAAACAAATTGTTTCAGTGAAACACTAGGTTTTACGTATGGATTTAGCTGAGGTGGAGGCAACTGGTGCTAGTAGCTTTCTTCTGTAAGAACATTGGGTAGTTTGTCTTTAACACAAAGACAACTTGTCCTGTTGATTGTTCTAGAAAGGCATGTCTGTATTTAACAAGTGCTCAATAAGGCCTATTTTTGTCCCTTATTTGTCACTTATAGAAGAGTAATTTTAGTGAATCCTATCAGCTGCAAGCCTTATCCCATGCAGGAAGCTAGCCAAACTGATGTTCCTGGTGCCATAACCCACTCTTTACCAGGGAGCAGGAGTGTGCTGGGATATGAGCTCCTCTGTGTTAGTGACCAAGCCCATGGCCCAGTACACAAATTTCTGTTTCTAAGGCCTTTTGAAGTCAAGCTTTTGGGTGACATGTTAGGAACGGACAGCTAAAGCCTGCTGAGGGAAATCAGATGTTGATGTGACCCAAGGTGTCCATGGAGGGGTGGGGGCCATAGAAAGTGCTCTTCAGTCCATATGAGGTCTTGGTAGTTGCTTAATATTAAAGAACTAGCCCTGGTCATAGAGCCAATAAGGTGTAGAGTCTAGATTTTAACTCAGGTTTTAAGATAGATATCTTCACAATTGAATTCAGTGAATAATTTAGCATGGACCAACCTGACTTTGGCTGTCTAGCTCTAAGCATTCTTAAGTGCAGGCAAGGGCAATAGAACTTAGTAGGTTTCCCATGGGAGGCGGTTTCTTCTATGAGACTCAGTGTCCTGGTCCAAGCCAGGCCTCAAGGAAAGGTGTGGCTGCTAAAGGTCCCAGGCCTTTGGTTTCTATCCCAGAAGCTGATTTTAGCCTTAGTCTCTGGAGCTTTGAATTGGACGCACACGCTTGCGCTCGGCCTTTGCGGTGGAGGCTGGAGGAGAGACTTGACACTCTGGGGCCTAATGAAGTAGATTATTGCATCCTTAGGAAGAATGAAGCATTTATTTAAATAGAATGATCACTTGGATACAAGGGGTCCATTGATCAACAGATTTTTTTTTTTTGCAAGGGGGGGTCAGGAATTTGCTAGAATTTGTGTTTTCTGTATTAACTTCTTTTGAGCCCTGTCTATATAGCAGGGGTAAAGGCTGTGTCTTACTGAGTCTGACTAGCATTTCACAGAGCTGTGCCAAAAGAGAACTTTGGGAGAAGATGCTATATTTGGTTCTTTTTTGTCCCAGGAAATAAAACTTGCCTTTGACTGTGATGACTTTGGCTTAGATACCAGTGCATACACATGTCCCTTGGGGCCGTATCTTTCTATGTTTTAGAGTTTTCCTTCATAGATGAGGATGGCTGGTGTCAGGTCCAGGCAGCTTCCTGGGGCATCCTGTTGCCAACTCTTGATGGCAACAGGAAGCTGAACTGTCAGTTCTGTAATGGACTGTGTACCCACCCTGGGGTCCTCCTTTCCTGCAAGCTAGATGGATATGCCTGCATCTGGAAGGAACAGGCCTGCCCTGGGGCTGTTGGCAGCAAGGTCCAGATGTTGTTCATATTCTCAGCTGTCTATGGCATCCTTGATTTTACCCAGCAGAGAGTGCATCCCTTGGGCAATTCTGAGGGACTCTAATAATCATCCAGCTGCCAGTAAAACTGCCTGAAGGTTTAGCTTTCTTCTGACTCCCATTTCCTAGGACCCCAGGGACGTGAAGACACTCCAACTGACCAATGTAATAACTTCATGTTATCAAAGAAGCCTGCTTTGGGGGGTGGGGTTGTGAGTTGGGGCAAATGACCCTTCTTCTTCATCTATATCCCTGAATTAACTTTTCAGGGAATAAGTTATTGTTATGTACTTTCTGTTCGACATCATCTGTCTAGTTATATGCGCTCTCATTCTGTACATGAGAGAGCAGCAGTTCATTAAGAGTCAGAATTTGTTACAGTGTGTGTGTGGTTGGAGGTTCCATCCTTTTTCCATTCTGCCTCCTGCCATCTCTTGACAACCACATTTGTGTGGGTTCATGCCTTGAAGCAGGTAGTGGGTTCTCTTCCAGAAGCACTGCCCTGATAGCCCTGCTCTTGGCTATATATACCACAACAGGACGACCAACCTAGCCATGTGATGTCTGCCTGTGTACAGATTCCTTTGGGTTACTCTGACACTGCCCTAGACATCAGCAGGGGAGGCCGGGGAGAATAGAGGCACCCATGTAACGAAGGAGTGTTCACATTCAAGTAGTGCAGCAACAGCTTGAGAAAAGAAACGAATCCTAGTTGAATCCTTTTCCCAAGAATCAACCAGAGATTTCAGGTAGATGAGGTGAGGACCCAGAGCAGA